TATCCCAATCAAATGTTCAACTTGACACCAGTTTCTATTGTGGTTGATCACGTTGGCACCAAGCAGCCATCCTCTGAATATAGCAAGTTTTCCAAAGATGCAGGCTCAACACATGTTCAGATGACTGGTAGTGTTTCCATGAATAGAACTCCTGACAATAGTGTGCCATGTGCTGATTGTTTTCAGTCATATGATAGAAGTACTGACGATACTATCAAATGCCATTTATATACTGCAACTGTATTAAATGGAAATAGTTTGCCTACAATAAATCATAGATACTGCCCTGACAATAGTACTTCAGTCAGTAATATAAAGTTGCCTACAATAAATCATACAACATACTGCCGTGACTATAGTACTTCAGTCAGCAATATCGGATTGCCTGCAATAAATCATACATACTGCCGTGACAATAGTACTTCATTCAGCAATATTGGATTGCCTACAATAAATCATACAACATACTGCCTTGACAATAGTACTTCAGTCAGCAATATCGGATTGCCTACAATAAATCATAAAACATACTGCCATGACAATAGGACTTCAGTCAGCAATATCGGATTGCCTACAATAAATCATACATACTGCCATGACAATAGGACTTCAGTCAGCAATATCAGATTGCCTACAATAAATCATACATACTGCCATGACAATAGGACTTCAGTCAGCAATATCGGATTGCCTACAATAAATCATACATACTGCCGTGACAATAGTACTTCATTCAGCAATATTGGATTGCCTACAATAAATCATACAACATACTGCCTTGACAATAGTACTTCAGTCAGCAATATCGGATTGCCTACAATAAATCCTACAACATACTGCCATGACAATAGTACTTCAGTCAGAAATATCGGATTGCCTACAATAAATCATACCTACTGCCATGACAATACTTTAGCAAGTTCTTTCAGAACAATGAATTCAACTCTCTAAACTAATATGGAACCTAATCGTACTGAAAGCTCTGACCGTTGCTCCCAAACAGGTGACACCGTGGAAAAGATTCTGTTGACTGATCTTGCATTAGTATCAAATATTTCAAAGAGTAGCTGTCAACATATTGTAAGTGAATTTGTAAAAGACATACAACATTACCCAAAAGAAAGTTGTGCATCATGTAAATGTTTCCTTGTAACAAAAGACATTGTACACTGTAACATCAGTAATAATTACACATCTAAGATGGAATTAAAACAAAATGAATTTTTATGTCGCAAGTGCTATGGTCAATTGAAAAAGAATATCATCCCAAAACAGTCATATGTGTGTAATAATTTAGATGCAGGGAATGTGCCTGATGCCTTGAGAACTTGTTTGTAGTTGAAAAAAGGTTGATTAGCTTAATTCCAGTCTTCATGACTCTGATTGTGTTACCAGGTGGTCAAATTGCACAAAAAGGGATAGCTGTTAACATTCCTATTGATATGAATGAACAACTGTCCTATTTTCCAAATCAAGTACACAATTCTGGTTCTGTACTTATAAGCTTTGAACGGCCTAATAATGAACCAGTCACTCTTCCAGTAAGACTCCATGCAGTATATGCAGCTTTATTATGGTTGAAACAAAAAAATCCTCTATATGAGAATGTTGATGTATCACATTTGGAATTGTCTTTGCCATTAATACGTAATGATAATCCTGACTGTTGTACAGACATGATACATGAAGAGTTTGGTTTAACATTAAAAGATACTGTTCTTTCAGAAAACCAGGCAAACCTTGAGTCTGCAAATATATCTGCTTGTACATTGCCTGTTGCTTTAGGAAGGCCTGTGAACTTGAAAGATTTACCATGTGGGGAAGAGAAAGCTTTCCCTTGGCTTTTCCCGTATGGAAAAATGGTATTTCTGCAGACAGACCCTGTGCATTAAGTATTTTGAAATATTTCCAAACACGTTTGTACAATGTTGACCCTCGATGGCGTACAGATATTCCTTACATCATGTCTGCTTTAAATCAGCATGAATGGACTGTTCTTACCAGTTTAGTGAGTACTTACATGCGCACATAGAAACCAATTGGAAGTTGTAATGGGTGTTTCACACCAATTACTGCTGCAGATTTGAATAATGCTAGGACTGATTCTGTTTAATGCAGAACTCTTACATGTTTACTAAGCAAATCAGAGGTACAGCTGCATATTGGAAGTCTGTTCTATTGCGGTTGTTAGCTATGGTTAAGACACTGGGTCCCCCAACATTTTTTGTTACGTTGTCATGTAATGATAATTGGCCCGAACTTCAAGCCTAGTTGGAGAATGGTGCGATTAAAAATGACCCTCTTATGGCGGCTTTAGCTTTCCAGAAGCGTTGGTCTTCATTACTGAAAAATGTACTAAAAAAAAACCTTTAGGTTGTGTCCTTGAATATTTTTCAAGGGTGGAATTTCAAGCTCGTGGTTCACCCTACATGCATATATTTATCTGGAGTGATTTGGGTTTTGATTTTTCAGATGTTGACTCAGAGCAAATATTAAATGTTATAAATAAAACTATATGCACTTAATTACCGGACAATAAAACAGATTCAGATATGCATGAACTGGTGAAACTTTTGCAAGTGCATAAACACTCTTTCACTTGTAGAAAAGGTCGAAAAGAATGTCGATTTGATTTTCCGAGACGTCTATGCAAGAAAAAACGAATTTGTTTTCATCCAGATGTTATTACTCATCATCGAGGTCGTTTCTATGAGACAGAGCGGGAATGCATAGACTTATTCGTAAATGCATACAATCCAGTTATTTTGCGCCATTGGCGTGCAAACATGGATATTCAACTGGCAGGCTATGTTGAGAGCTGTGCATTCTATGTATGTAAGTACATATGTAAAGCAGAGCCAGAAGAACTGAAAGAAACATTGAGTGCTTTATTTTCAGACTCAAATTTCCAGTCATTGGAATTAAGGAAACGCCTGATTAAAATTGGCACATGTATACTTAAGAAAAGAAAGCTTAGTTCACAAGAAGCCATGTATAGGCTACATGGGCTAGGTGATTTACACCTCTATGATTCATCAAAAACTGTTATAAGTATTAACACTTTGCCATATACAAAACGTTTCAAAGATGTCAAACCAATAGCACAGCGTGAACAGTTACAACCTTATTGTTGTGATGAAAAAGCTTTGTTTGAAAGCAGTATTATAGATTTCTACCGTGCTAGACCATATGAATTAGAAAGTATTAGTCTACATGCGTTTGCATCAGAGTACACTAAAGATTATGGTGTTACAATACCTTGTTCTGCCTCCCTAGAGTACGCCTATTGCAACCTTATAGTAATATTGTCTTCCAAAAACGCAAGACATCTGTCATCATTAAGCCTAGCAAAGTAATGCAAACTTCAGGTGACTATTATTACAGTTGTTTATTACTGTATTATCCACACAGGTCTGAGTTGGACTTAATTTTGCCATATATAACTTATAGGTATTCTTATATGGCCCATTTCCATGATTTTGACCAGAGTTATAAAAAAGTGAAGTCATTGACCACTGAGTTAGAAGAAGCAATCAGAAGAGTTCATTTACTCAATTTGCAGAACAACATTTTTAATGACATCTTGGATACAGCAGAAACAACTGGTGACAATGAATACAGCATTTTACAGAGACCATGCAATACGGAGGATTGCCACAGTTTACATGCTATGAGTGTAGATTCTCAATCAGACCATTCTGATGATTTCACATGGCACACACTCACAGCATGTACAATAAGGGAAGACACCCTTGAAAGCAGAATCTTGTCTTTTTCTAAAGATCAAAGGGCTTTTTTCCTTAATGTTCATACTATAATAATAGATAAGATAAGTATGGTTTCGACCAAGTATTTTCATTACATACATCAACGACTTTGTTCAATTGCTAATACAGACGGTCCTTTTGGAAACTATAACATCATTCTTTTTGGAGACTTTTATCAGTTACGACCTGTGCGTGGAAGGTATATCTTTACTGATACAATTTTATGGCCCCTTTTTACGCCATTCATATTAACTACTAATAAACGACAACAGGGTGATGATCTGTTGGTAAACTTGCTGAATAGACTACGCATTGGTGAAGTGACTGCACAAAATGTCACCTTACTACAATCAAGAATGATTCCACATCAAGCTAATACTATCAGACACTTACTACATATATTCCCTACTAACAAGCAAGTTATAGAGCACAACAAATGTTTACAAAGTCAGCTGAACAGTAGAGTTCACACATTTATGTCTGACCATGTATTTTCGAACTATGATGTCCACCCAGGGCTTGATGTCCCTTCATTTTCAATTGATAATTCATTTTAAACAGTTATACTGTCAGATGTTGACTGCAGGGGATACTTGTGTATATCTATATATATCTGCAAAGGAAAGCATACTATTTTTTTCCTGTACAACTTCCATTTTTGTATGAAAAGTAGTACAATATACAATAGGTATAATGGTGTATCTGTTACACACTTTAGCTCCATACAAGTCATTTTCATAAAAAGAAATACAAAATATATTACTTCACTAAAAATATCCAAGAATATGACAACTGATTTCCAGATACAGTACCGTTCAGTAAGGGATATAGCAAAGAAAAAAGATGTCAGCCTCCATGTTGAGACAGTTCTTGCAGTTTCCTGCATTTGGACCACAATTTGTGGATTATCCTTGATAAACCATACAAATATTTGATCCAGTTTAAACGGAAAATAGAATTTCTTGGGGATGAATACTTTGCTATTTACGGAGTGGAAGACAACGACTTTTCGTGTCAATTTGTTAGAAAATAAAAACCCTGCCGTCAGTCAAACCTAAAAACTTTAACATTTGCCATAATTTTAATATTACTAAATGGATCAGCTTCATATTCGGACACATCACTCCTGCGGATGAAAGATATTACATCTTATGCTAGCGGTACTTTATTCATTTGTAAAACAATATCCAAAAAAAACAAAAAATTGTTTTATATTAAACTTGTGAATAATATTTGCTGTGTTGACTTTTTCAACAGTACAAATGAAGTAACCTTCAAATCTATAAGTGTTTCAACAAGTTAGTGCTAAACATATTTTACCAGAGTACTATGCAGCTGGATATCTTCTGTTCCACTTCTACAAATTCATTTTCAGATTTCTGTACAATCCAAATTCATTGATACAATTCGTATTCTTAGACTTATAGGTATTTCATTAATGAAAATAAAAGATATATTCATAAGAATAAATACTAATTTAATCATAAAATTGTGTCATCAAATTGTGTATAAATACAATTTATTACTGTTACTTCTACAACTATTCTATGTTTCCATCTATTCATAGGGTACATTACCCATCAGCCAGTTGGAAGCAATACCATCTGGATCGAACCTAAAATTAGCCCAGTTATATGGAAAGATCATCGCATGAGAGAAAGAAGAGGGCAAGCAGAAGAAATTTACTGCTTTACTGGCAGATGCTTCTGGTTTCATCAAGTGTTCTATCAGCAACAAGTACTTCCGAACAGTAAATCTGGCAAAATCAAATGACACTACAATACAGTAAGTAATAACCTCTTGTCACAAATAATATTGTCAAGTTCAATGTCATGTACCACGTACCTCCTGCCTTAGAGGTGAAATAAATGCAATTTTTCAGACTTACACTTTCTGAAATTTGGTCCGGGCGTACCATGCATTTCTTTAAGAATCCTGCAAAAAATATGACTCCCCCAAAAAAAGAAAACTTGCATAATAGTCAACATTCTTTGGAAATCCAAAATATTTTTGACTATCTTTGCATAATTCAATTTCAAAGTTTGACAGAGTCGTTAAAAATGTTGCATATATACATTTCAGTGTCAAAGACTTCCTGCTGGCAAAAAACATAGTATATATCTCAGACTTCACCACAGTCATGAGGTGCCATATCGTAGTGAATGTCACACCAGAAAAGCGACAACGCGGAACAGTGCTCTTGGACAAACCAGACAGTGTTGAAGCTATTAAAGCGTCCCCTTTAAAGACACGTGTTTCATTGAAAGGCAAAATCGTCAAAGTAAGAGATTACAGTATTTATCTATACAATAAATTTGCACAGCAAACTCCTGCCTTCCATATCAGTGGTATCCACCAATATCACTTAAAGAATCTTACTACTAAGTTGAACTGCTTCTCGCACAAAACACATCAAAATCTTAACTGTCTTCTCTTCATTTGACTGAGCTAAGAATTTTTAAAATTCTCGCACTGGCCCAAACAATGCCATGTAGTAATGACTTATTGTCAAGCATGCAGTTTCTTTCACAGTTCCTACAGTTCTGTATTAATTAAACTCAATATATGTCTAAAACTATTGTCAAATTATTATATCTTCCCTTTGTTTTAAAGATATAAGTGCACTAAACCTGGGTTCTATTGTCGTAGGATTGCCTATATTATGCACACTTTTTACAAATTATATTATAAACATGTGAATACCATATAGTACTTACTGACGACTGTTACATGCAAGAGATTTCAAGAACTTGTATGTATTACAAGAATGATGTTTGCTACTTTTATTAGCAAATGTCATTGCAAAAGTGTAAATATGTTGTTAAGTGAAAAACATAAGTGAAAAACGTAGTTAAAACGCTTAGCCTAAAATATATAATCCTCTGATCAATAGTTCTTTGACATTGTTTCACAATTTTGACAAATAACAAACACCGTCGATTGTTAATATTTTGCTAAAAAGCTAAACCTTTCTCTCTTTAATAAATCAGACCGCTTCAAAAAATAGGAATTAACAAAACAGGTGAGGAGAAAGAGTTACTAAACGTTAGACTGAAAGACAACACAGGTGTTATTCCAATATCCTTGTGGGGGAAGCACGCCACTACCCACCAAGCATTAAAGGTGAGTGACTGCATAAGCGTGGAGAAAGGAGAAAAGGCTGTCTTTCAAAACAAACCAACAGTGAACACATGGGAAGACAGCACAACAATAACAGTACGTTCGGTGATAGATGCTTAAGTATTTCCATCTTTTAGATGCTTAAGTATTTTCATCTTTTATGTATACTGAATACAACATAATTCTGCAATTAATGAAATATTTTCATGGTAAGATAAATTGATCATAATAGTTTTCCTTTTTCATATATATATATATAATATATATATATATATATATATATATATATATATATATATATATATATATATATATATATATATATATATATATATATATATATATATATATATATATTCTTGTATATACATTAAACATTATTCTTGTATACATTAACATCAAACTTTTAGAAGTACTTAAACAGTTTAATGAATACTTCACTTGCTTGCATGTTGGCAAAATCAATAGTTTGCTTATACATATATTAAATGTAACATTTCAGCTCCTTACAGAAGACATGACAGAAATAACGGACAGTGATGATGAAACCGCGCATCAAAGTGCCTCACCTCCACCTGGCACCACGACAGGAGAGTGGGTATCCTTGGGTAACATCACAAAATATGAAGCATGCAAATAGAAACGTTGTTACTTGAAAAAATTAACTATAGACAATGTGTGCCCGACATGTGGAAAGACTTAGTCTGTCAAATGTCCCTCCACTATGGCCTTGATTGCCACAGTAGGTTTACATTCATCTGAAGTCAAGACAGCTAGGATATTTACGAATGCATTGAAGTCAGCATACACACAATTATGTCCTGGAGCCAGCCTGCCTGACAACCTTGATGCTATAGAAGATTCTTTCTTCGCTGCTTTGCCAAAAATGTGCCAAATGGTTATAAACGCCAACAATGTTGTGACTGAAGTTACACTTTTATAAATAATTACTGCTGTTGGGTAAAAATGTTTGTTGTTTGCTGTATTTTTGTACCCCCACTACAGGGGGTGGGCAGTCATTTAGATTTACCCTTGTCCGTCCATTCGTCCGTCCTTTCATACATATTACTGTTCATTAATGTATAGTTCAACAAGTTCATTTTTGTAAGTAACTTCTTTTGTTTCTATTGTTATTTTTATTTTCTATTGAAACTAGTAGTCCATTTTGCATACATTTTCCACTTCAACAATTTTCAAAAAATAAAACATAGCAATATCAATGGCACAATAAACATACTTGCTATTTCAATACTATTGTACTGAACAGATTCTGCTGATTTTGAAAAAAAAATCTGTTAACAAAATCTTGTTGTCACATGTCCGTCTGCATCAGAGTGTGCATTGCTTAAGTTTTTACTTCATTGCTGAAGTTTTATTGTAAATCATTTTCTCAAAGACTAATAAATTTATTCACTTTGAATATAGAGCAGTTGTTTATTATCAAAAGGATAATACAAACTTACATGCCAAAAGATCCTAAAATAATATTTGACCAAGTTATGCATCTTTTTTCCTTACAATTTCTTGGTTAGTCAAATATCTCAGTTACATACAAAGATTTTTAATTGAAACTTTAAAATTTTTCTTTATCATGAGAAATATATCAGATTAAACAAACCCCTGACTCGAACTGAATTATGACAGAATCATGCTTCTCAATTTTGACAAAATAATGCTTTTTTAACTTAGAATTTCTAGTTATAGTAAAATATCTTTCTTACTATTGAATTGTTTTTTACTTGGTAATTAAAATTGTTATCTACTGTCTCAAATTACACCTGGAGAAACAGTCCCTGCAACTCTGATTTGACTTCTACTACAAATATACCCTTTTTAAACTCCGAATATATTTGTTACAGTCAAATATCTCTCTTACCGTCAAATCACTTGCATTACTATCAATTATACCTTTCTTTATATTGCCAATTGTGTCATACATGACATCAAATTGATACCATTTATTAACATCATAGTGTACAACAATAATGGAAATGTATATTATGTGAATTTTATGCTTTCTGATATGAAACATTTCTTTTCCTATGTACATACATCAACCTTAATTAAACTGTCTAACACATGTACAAACAATTGCTATATTCATAGCAAATATTTCTTGTTCATGTTATGCATACAGGGCAATTGTTCTTTTCCTATGTACATACATCAACCTTTGTTAATCTGTCCAACACATGTACAAAAAAACTGCTATATTCATAGCAAATATTTCTTGTTCATGTTATGCATACAAAGCAATTGTGGCCATCTAGTCTATGTATTTGTATTTTTGTTTATTATTACTTTTTTCATACATATTACTTTTCATAAATGTATAGTTCAACAAGTAGATTTTTGTTAGTGACTTCTTTTGTTTCTATTGTTACTTTTTTATATTGATACTATATTAGTTGTATAGTCCATATTGTAGCCGTGTCACTACAACTATTTTCACTTAATAAAACTTTATGCGCAAAGACAAATTACATCGAGAAGCTGTATCAATGGCTCAAAGACACACTTGCTATATCAATACTATTGTAATGAACAGATTTTGCTTATTTAAAAAAAAAACAAAAACAAAAAAACAACAATCAAAATGTTGTTCAAAAGACGCACTTGCTATATCAATACTATTGTAATGAACAGATTTTGCTTATTTGAAAAAAAAACAAAAAAAAAACACCAATCAAAATATTGTTCTCACATGTTCATTTGCATCTACATGTGCTTGGCTTAAGTTTTATGGCAAAATTTCCTTTAAGTCTATCAAATAATTCACTTTCAATTTGAAGCAGTTGTAAATCATCAAATGGGTAATACATACCAACAAGGCAATAGATCCTTAAATATTTTTGACCATGTTATGCCTCTTTTTACCTTACAATGTTTTAGTCAGTCAAATATCTCAATTTTTATCAATCTGTCGAACACATGTTCAAAAAATGCTTTATTCATAGAAAGTCTTTCTTGTTACCTATACAGGGCTATTGTGGCCATCTAGTCCATATATTTGTATTTTTATTAATAATTACTTTTTACATACATATAACTGTCCATAAATGTATAGTTCAGCAAATAGATTTTTGTAAGTAACTTCTTTTGTTTCTACTGTTACTTTTTTCTATTGATACTATATTAGTTGTATAGACCATATTGTAGCAGTTGTCACTTCAACAATTTTCACATAATAAAACTCTATGCGCAAAGACAAATTACATCCAGAAACTGTATCAATGGCTCTAAAGACATACTTGCTAAATCAAATCTATTGTAATGAACAGATCTTGCTTATTAAAAAAAAACACCAATCAAAATGTTGTTCTCACATGTTCATCTGCATCTACATGTGCTTGTCTTAAGTTTTATGGCAAAAGCTCCTTTAAGTCTATCAAATAATTCACTTTCAATTTGAAGCAGTTGTCAATGCTCAAATGGGTAATACATATCAACAAGGCAATAGATCCTTAAATATTTTTAACCATGTTATGCCTCTTTTTACCTTACAATGTTTTAGTCAGTCAAATATCTCAATTTTGATCAATCTGTCGAACACATGGACAAAAAATGCTTTATTCATAGAAAGTCTTTCTTGTTACCTATACAGGACTATTGTGGCCATCTAGTCCATATATTTGTATTTTTATTAATAATTACTTTTTTCATACATATAACTGTTCATTAAAGATCCTGTATGCTTTGTAATTGTGGTTGTATACCACACTTGCGTGAAACTATATATGTATATAATTATGCTAATACAACAATTTTCAAACATCGGAGAATATGTAAAATATGTACTGCAAATATTTGTACATATTAAATGTAATCATTAAATTATATGCATTCATTTCTTATTGGAAAATTTGACTTAGAATTTATAGAAAACAAATTTCTAATTACCTCCCTTTATTTTCATGAAATATTAAATTCGGTAATATCTTTATAAATAATGCTTTTTGGAACTTACAATATTGATAAATCTTAATTTGAGCATCATATTTTTTATATAAAACCATAAAAAAAATGTGTTACAGGATCTTTAATGTATAGTTCAACAAGTAGATTTTTTGATAGTAACTTTTTTTGTTTCTATTGTTACTTTAATTTCCTTTATATACTTTTATATTAGTTGTATAGTCCATATTGCATACAGTTTCCATAATGTTACTTTTATCTTCTTTTAATAATTTTATATTAGTTGTAGTCCATATTGCATACAGTTTCCATAATGTTACTTTTATCTTCTTTTGATACTTTTATATTAGTTGTAGTCCATATTGCATACAGTTTCCATAATGTTACCTTAATTTCTTTTGATACTTTTATATTAGTTGTAGTCCATATTGCATACAGTTTCCATAATGTTACCTTAATTTCTTTTGATACTTTTTAGTCCATATTGCATACAGTTTCCATAATGTTACTTTCATTTCTTTTGATACTTCTATATTAGTTGTAGTCCATATTGCATACAGTTGCCACATCAACAATTTTCACAAAATAAAACTATACACTCAAAAACAAATTACATAGAGAAGATAAATCAATGGCACAAAAAACAGGTTAGTTCCACCATTGTCCTTTCAAACATTCTTGTGCATTTTTTCACATATTCCTATGCATTTTTCAAGCAAACAATATTTCTTTACCTGGATTTCTTATATACTTTGTCATTTTCAGGCAAATTGATTGGCTGTTATTCAGAGGGATACCAGAATACAGGTACTTTTTTAACAGCCAATAACAATCCAATTGGAAATAAAATCAACGAAACCAAAAAAACATATCTATTTTTCCTTCATCTTCTATTTTTCTACATTTTTTATTTTCAATTAATTTAAATATGTCTATTCCACAGATTTCAATGACATATATAGATATATTATATCTAATACTAATGAAACACAATATAAACAAACATATTGACATGAGACAACCCTTGTATTAACAATAAAACAACATACACACAAACAACAGCAATATTTATATTTTGAATAATATCAACTCCCATCATACAGTAACAATAAAACATAAGGTTCGTCTCGTTTCAATTGTAATTATAACGTACTTGCATTCACATTTTTACATGGCTATGGTACTTCTTCTGATATTAAACACATTCCTTTAAGTAGTCCAAATACATGTAAGTTATGTTCATTTCATATGGTAAAAAAATGTTAAACCTATAAAAAGCCAATACTAAAACACCTGTGTTCCTAATACTGTTATGAACTATTTCATTTTTTGCATAATACTCATCTTGATACTTAAGTTCTCTTCATGAATGAATATTATGTAAGTGTAACATATCCTTATAATATTATGTATGCCCAATTCCTCTGGTATCAATCAAAACAATTTGCCAAATTCTGTGATTTCCATGAACATATATCATATGTTTATGTTTTTACAAATAAATATTATATTTTATACACCGGCTTATTTCTTGTGTTACACCCTTCCTGCAAAGACAATCCCCATCCGCTTACTTGAAAGATGCATCCCAAATGTCATATATATATCTCATCTCATATATATATCCCCGCACAATAATGTTGAAATGGAATATCCTGCAATCAACTTGCCCGTCTAACCATTACATAAACCTTTACATCTTACATGTATGCCAAATAACGTGAGAATAGTATAGCCCATGGTGTACACATTCTCTTTGGACTACTCTATGAACCTTCCTGCATAAGAAAATTTATCACAATAATAAATGACCGGATAGCATATACAAACCA